TTTACTCAAGTTCTTACAGGCTTTACAGTCTACCCAGAAAGCAATCCAGAAGCACGTCTGAGATGTTCTGCCTTCCAACCTGGTGACTCTGTTTGGGTAAAGACCACCCAAGGACTGACTCCTACCTGGAAGGGACCACATACCGTCATCCTGACCACCCTCACCGCTCTCAAGGTTGCAGGACTGAACACCTGGATACCAGAAACACCCTCTGCGGATTTGTTGCTCCACAAGGCTAAAATAAGCTTGTGGGACAAGGTGGGGGTGGGATGAGGAGGAAACTGGTCTTGCAGACTTGTTATCTAAATGTAGAGGCTATGGAACTGTGAACAATGCACTGCCCTGGGTGGGGAGGGTTGTTATGCTGGTGCCAGAACAGACCATTGGATGTGGCCTGACACCTGGGGGCCTTCCTGCAGGGCCACGAAGGGGGCAGGGGGCATATCTGCAAAACAAAGACCCCAGCGGGATATATATAGACAGGCTCTCTGCATGTTTCTTCACTCTGATTTGGAAATTATTCCCAGAGTCCACTAGTGTTAATAAGCAGGGTCCCTCCCTTTCTCTAGGAAGCGTGCTTGGTATTTCTTTGGTCTTCTGTAACAGTATTTTGCAGAAAGGACAAGATTCCATGTCATTTGTATTATACTCAAATCCATAACCATGTCATTTAAAATTTCTTCTTATCATTTAGAGATAGTCACTGTTTTGTTATAATGCATTTAGAAAAATGTTACATCTTCTGAGGGATCCATGGAAAGGACTCTAACATTTTTAGATCATTCCCTTCAAACTGGATGAAAATTATTAGAATTCTACAGACTATCTGGATTTATAGAAGTACTGGCAGGAAAAATCAGGAGAAACAAAAAAATTAATTATGGGACTGAATGAACTGAAAATAATTATAGTTTTTATAACTTTTGAAAGTATTGCTGATTCTTAATCTTTTTGTTTTTTCAGACTGAAGGAAACTTGTTTCTTTTCTTAAAGCAATTTGGTAAATTATATATTTTTCTCCCTACCATATCCCTCCAGAATTTGGCAATTCTTAATGAGTAAATCATGGCAATGCATTTCTTTGCATTAATTTAATAAGACCACTTTCCAACTGCCATTTTATTGACTAAGACTTTAACTAGAGTGTCATGTCTGAGAGAGACATGCTTGGACTCTGGATGTCACCAGAAAAAACTTGACGGCAATGTGAGCGCCTTGGAGAAAAGCCTGATACCTTGCTTGGTACGTGGTTCATGGTAGTCTTTCCAGGTAAGGAATGAAGGTTACTTTCCTGAAAGATGTCAAGAAAGGAACCTCAAGGAATTTTGGGAACCTCAAATACTTGGGGAATTCACCCAAGTCTACAGGTATTGTAGGCAAGCCTGATGGCAAGTAGGTGGCTCGGCTTCTTTAATGAGCCATAAAAGGCTCATTAAAGCTCAATCATGAAAAAAATAAAATAAAAACAAAAACAAAAAACCTCAATCATGAGATTCCAGCAAAGCAAATTTTAAAAGAGCCTATACAGTTAATTGTATTATTTGTATTCCTGCAAATAATCAGGCCAAATTGCAACTAGACTTAATTTGATCTTTAATAAAAATGAGGGTGATTTTAGAGAGAACAATTGTGTCTCAACAAACTCTATAGTACACAATTGGGAATAGACTCCAGTTAATTGTTTTGAAGTTTTATTTTTCATATATGAATTGAACTAAATTCTAAATTTGTTTAGTTTTTTTGGATGTTTAGCTACAACTCTTCAAACTAATGCTTAATTTTCTCCCATCCTTTGATTTGGACTCATTGAGTACTAAAACACTTTTTCTTCCACTGGACCATTTGTCATAATTCTTGTTGTTCAGTTTGTCTCCACTAGGTTATAAACCCTACTCAGCTCAGAGAATACCACCTCTAGACACCATTGCCACCTCCTTCCATGCCCAGGCCTCATTGTCCCTCTGACAGAGAGCAAGGATTTCTTGGCTCTGAGGAAAAACGTCACATCTTTTGGTCAAATAAGCTTGACAACCTTCCAACGGTTTGAATTTTAAGGAACTTTTCTTTAGGTCATTCCAATAGGCTCAATTTGCCCTACAGAAATATTTTAACCATCTAGGCCACTCTAGAAATCAGACCAGGGTTTGTTCCCTTTCCCATTAAGGGAAATCACACAGGCAGCACAGGAAATCTCATTAGTAAAGTGTGACTGCCTGACAGATACTCAAATATGGTCACACACATGTGAGCACCAGCAGTAGGGGGTTAAGTCAGGACCTTCCCTATGAGCAAGTCTAGCCAGGAAGGTCAGCTATTAGTGTGTGTGCACTAACAGGCAGTCTTTCTTGCCCTACATAGGAGATGTCCTGCGGGGGCCCTAACAAGATGGCACTGGTAGCCTCTTTGTTCATTTTGTCTTTTCAGATGGGGAACTCATCTGCCACCAAGGTCAGCACACCCTCTAGATTGCATTTTGAGTAACTGGGATTCGTTTGATCCACAAACCCTGAAGAGAAAGCATACTTAAGTATGGCCACAATATAAGCTTGGCAGATTGAGAGGCATGGCCCTCAAAGGGGAGTATTACCATCATACAATTAAATATTTTCTGTAGGAAGGAAGGGAAGTGGTCTGAGGTCCCATATGTTCAGGCTTTCTTTGCCTTAAGAAACAATAAAAAATTGTGTAGGCAATACAAAATTGACCCCTGATGCCTGGAAACATTGACCCAAACGGTATAAGAGAGCCAAAAACCCCTAGGAAGGTGATGGGGCCTAGTGGCCCACTAAATACACCTGAGCCATCTTGTCTTCCTTATCCAGGACCCCTGGAAGAACAAGTCCTGCCTAGACCTGAGGGAACTTGGCCACCCAGGCCCCTGGCTACCCTTTGCCCTCTACAGGCAGTGTCTGGGGGAGAGTCCAGACCCATCCAGGTCCAGGTATCGTTTTCCCTACAGGACTTAAGACAAATTAAGATGGATTTAGGAAAGTTTTCAGATAACCCTAATAAGTACATAGATGTTTTTCAGGGACAGACATAAACATTTAATTTATCATGGAAGGATATAATGCTTCTTTTAAGTAAGACACTCTCAGGATCAGAGAAGCGGTCAGTCCTAAATACAACTCAACAGTTTAGAGACAAATACTTCTTAGTAAATGTCAGTGGGGTCCCCCATGATCAGATTGGACAGTTTTACCCCAGGGCTTTAGAGATAGCCCCCAATTGTCTGGTCAGGACTTAACTCAGGATTTATGTCAATTTAACCACCTGTAGACCAAAACATACAAAGGTCATTAGATTCACTGGCTCACATGGTTCTAGATCAGCCGTGGGCAAACTACGGCCCGCAGGCCGAATCCGGCCCGCTTGAAATGAATAAAACTAAAAAAAAAAAAAAGACCATACCCTTTTATGTAATGATGTTTACTTTGAATTTATATTAGTTCACACAAACACTCCATCCATGCTTTTGTTCCGGCCCTCCGGTCCAGTTTAAGAACCCATTGTGGCCCTCAAGTCAAAAAGTTTGCCCACCCCTATTCTAGATCATAGAATGGCTCTTCCTATATGTCAACAACCCTTTTAAAATAGATCTTAGAACATAAGATATTCTTAAACAGACTATATAGTTAAGGGAGAAAACATTGCATTCTCAATCTCCTAAAATTTAGGCTCAAATCCATGGTATGCTACCTATTCCTAGCATTATTGTTTGGCTCTTGTACACTCAATTGTCTAACTCTAGTCATCCTCTCTTGCCTAGAATCCATCAAACTACAGATGGTCATGGAAATGAAACTCTGAATGACATCTTCCCATCTTCCCTTAGATCGTCCGCCTCTGATGGAGCCCCAATACCCCTTGCTATGTCCCACTTCAGTTGTAAGTTGCTAGAGCAGTCATTGCCCCCATTCCCAACAGCAGCTGGGTTCTCCAAATTGGAATGGGAAATGAAGAGACAGAAGAAAGCTAGGTAGATAGGGGCAGGACCATGGGAAGGGAAAGTAATACCCAAGAACCCAACTATGGGGAGTTACTAAGATACCCCAACTGGGCGGGGAAGGAAAGGTATGCGAGAGAGGCATGAACTTTAAAATGTATGGATATTACTAAGGTAGCATAACCAATCAGGAACTAACAAGCATATATACAAAAAAAGAGCACACTCGAGCTTCCTCTTTCTCTCTTCCCCTGGTGCAGCACACAATGGATACCTGATGTTCCTGTTGCGGGGCTTATGGCCATGTGGGCCTCCATACGTGGACTAATAGACTTTAATTAGCTTGGATGCTGAACTACTCCTGACTGTAACATGAAAAGAAAGCTCTGGACACTGGGCTTCTCCTGAAACCCCAGCTACACCTTTTCCAGGACTGGCTTTTCCCAATAAACTTCAGTTCTGCTAATTGTTTTTGTCTGTCACTTCATTCTTCGTTTTCTCGAGACAACAAACTTGGACTCAATATCCCACATTTTGGTTTCAGTACCTCTGCAGGAGCTGAATTCTCTGTTGGACAACTTAGTTATTACCCTCTCCTCACCTGGCTATCTGCACCCTTCAAAAGTGAGCTCTATGTTGCCTCCTCTGGGAATACTACACCGTTTGCTTAATACTACAACTGTTTGCTATTTTTTCATACCAAATTTAATAATTGGTTAACTGTCTGCTCTCACCAGAGACTCCCACAGCAGGGCTATGTCTTTTAAACTCTTTATTCCCAGTAGTGATGGTCATGTAACAGGGTGCTCAACAAATGTTCAATAAATACAAGAATGGACTCAAGGAATGAAGTGAGGACAGAAGAGGTGCATGGGACCCACCCACAGAGGTGGCCACAGGAGTGTTTTGTGAGTCATGTACATATGCTTGTGGAGCTTAGTGGACACCTAGGTTTTCCGGACCCTCTTTATAATTGTACAATTTGGGAGGAGAAATGCTATCTGTAAGAAATAGTTTGCAAGATAGCTCTCATTTTTATAAAATCCACACATACCAACAGCAAGGCCAGCTAGAGAAGCTGCACCAAGGCACGACATATCCAGGTGAACAGGTCTGTCTATCTTCTCATTAATCAGGTCTGAAGTCATCTGCATGACAAAACTGTTCTTACAAACTCCGCCATCTGCCCTGTGGGGAGCAAGATATTTGAGATAAAGTACTACAATAAAAGCATAACAACATTTTTAAGAAGAGTCATATTTTTTTAGACCCTTGATTTTACTATTTAATTCCAAAATTATATCACTTAGCATTGACCTGCAGACACAGGACCTTACTAGGTAATCTTGAAACATTTTCCCTTATTCCTGCTATCAGTTCTTCCACCTGCTCTATTTGTTCAAAACAGACCAAGTGAACTGAGCCAACATGCAAATTGATTTGAACATTCTAGCAAAGAAAATTTGATGCTTCTATGCCAAAAGGATAGCCACACGCCCAAAAGTGACTTTAAAGATTTTTATAATATGGGTGCTAAGATCTTCCCAAATTCCAAAGTGTGTTATATTCTCCATAAATCCCAAATTGACTTTTCATTCCTCATCAAAACCCCATGTTCAAGAATTTTGTTGCAAAGGATCTAGGTTTAAGTTCTTTTTGAAATATTGAATAACCCTAATGATGGAAATACTCATGGTAGCTACCACTTCCTTCCAATTTCTAATTACATCTATTAGAAACAAAGCATACATACCGGATTTTTGTCACGGGAATATGGATCTCTTTCTGCATCACCTCATATAACTGCTTGTTTCTAGTTAAAAAAATAAGATAACTATGTAGATAAAATTGAAATCATAGTAATTCTCTATTTCTCTAATCTATAAAAATATAAACTAGGTTTTATGTACATGATCTATATATAAAATATGCAAAAAGGTATTAAAGAAATATATTCTGCTAACTAGAAATGGGTAACAGATGTTCAAATAAACAAGAGGCTCAAGGCTTGTGCTTCTCACCTCCATACAAAAGAGCACAATTTTTATTTTCAAACTGAATTTTATCTATAACTGTTCCTACAAATAAAAATACAAGGCAAGCATCCATTTAATAGATAGCTATTTAGATGGCATGCCATAAATTATATCTTACAGAATTAATTAAATATAGAACTAATCCTATATAATAAAAGCCTAATATGCTAAGTGTCTGGTCATCTAGTAGGCCGTTCAAACAATCAAAGCGTAATATGCTAATGATATACTAAGGCTGCTCAACTGCTCGCTATGAGGTGCACTGACCACCAAGGGGCAGACAGTCTACCAGTCACTATGACGTGCACTGACCACCAGGGGGCAGACGCTCCGACCGGTAGGTTAGCTTGCTGCTGGGATCCAACCGATGGGGACTGAGCAGGACGAGCCAGACATGCCCTGGAGCCCTCCTGTGTCCCTCCCCAGCCCCAATTGTGCACCGGTGGGGTCCCTTGGCCTGGCCTGCACCCTCTCACAATCCGGGACCCCTCAGGGGATGTCAGAGAGCTGGTTTCGGCCCGACGGCAGAACGACCGATCGCTATGATGTGCACTGACCACCACAGGGCAGACACTCAACACAGGAGCTGCCCCATGGTGGCTAGTGTGCTCCCACAGGGGGAGCACCGCTCAGCCAAAAGCTGGGCTCATGGCTGGCGGTGCAGTGGTGGTGGCAGGAGTCTCTCCCGCCTCCGTAGCAGCGCTGGCTGGGGATGTCCAATTGCTGGCTTAGGCCCACTCCCTGCGAGGGGACCTAAGCTGGCAGTTGGACATTCCCCAAGGGCTCCCGGACTGCGAGAGGGCGTAGGCCGGGCTGAGGCACACCCCCCCAAAGTGCACGAGTTTTGTGCACCAGGCCTCTAGTCATTTTATAATCACAGGAAATTTTATTTTAAACATTTGAATTTTCCATATTCATGATAGCCACATTCTTAATTTTAATAAGCTACTACACCTGCCTCATAAAAAAAAGAGCACTGGAAAATATACATAAAAATAATTTTGATAATTCAATCTTTGAGTATCACAGAAGCATATTAAAATTCTCCTTCATGAATACAAAAACCTTTGAAAGTCCAAATTTTAAATCTCTTATGCTTAGGAAATTGGATATTTTTAAAAATCACTGATTTTCATATATCAAATCTAAGTGGTACTAGTACTATTTAATATGAAAAAATAAAAAATGATATGAAAATTAGCAGTAAGAACAGACTATGTCATATGCAGTATGAATTAAATTAAAGGTATAAATCCTTGATTAAAATTATGAAATTTCTAGTTTTATAGAAACTAATAAAAGAAAATGGGAATACCATAAGGGGAGAAAGGAGTTTAGAGCAGGTTTTGGTACCTGAAAGCTATGGACTCCAATATTGCTCGTACAAGATGGTATTTACTAGTGGAAGGCTTCAAACCCATAAAAGAGGCACAAGCACAGGGGTCATTTAATGGAGCCTAAAGTAAGAGATAGTAAGAATATATTATTATTGTTCTAAGTCACATCTATAGACTTAAAGACATATTATTCAATAAAAATGAACACATTAGAAAAAAAATCCCTATTATAGTTAAGTAGCTTTAAAATAAATAACAGTCCAAAATTATATTAAATATTACCATAACTTTTTAAAAGGGCTTGAGCAAGTCTGAGAACTGACATGGGACTTACCTGGGCCTTCTGTTTGAGCTCATACCAAGAAAAGGCACTGCGGTACAGAGTAACCAATTATTAACAGCCCAGCTTTATTAATGAAGGCAATGAAAAATAGTCCTTGTACCCCCTTCTCTCCAGTTGTAGGGTTTTTACACATAAAGTTGTTCACTGCATAAAGGAGCTTTTCGAGGACATAAGTTAGACTCAAGATAAAGAACAATAATGCAAAAAATATGTTTTTCAGTGTCATAACTTATACCCAACATGTCACCAGACACTCAATCGAGTACTCAATTTCTTAGCTTACAGTCTTGTTGTCTAATATGAGAAATGACCCAGCCTAACATCTGTCTTTAAAAGAGTCAAAATCTTGCCCTGGTTGGTGTGCCTCAGTGGGTTGGAGTGTCATCCTGTATACCAAAAGATTGTGGGTTCCATTTCCGATCAGGACACATACCTAAGTTGCAGGTTTGATCACTGGAGACAACTGATCTCTCTCTCTCTCTCTCTCTCTCTCTCTCTCTCTCTCTCTCCCTCCCTATTCCCCTCTTTCCAAAATGAATAAACATAACCTTGAGTGAGGATTACACAAATTTCTTTTAAAGAGTCAAAATCTTGAGCTGGATGTATTCATCAGATGAAATTTGTATTCATCATATGAAATTTGTATTCATCTTTGAAATGCAAGACAATTTTGGAACAGAAAACAGATTCCTGCCAGGCTTGCAGTCTCACGGGGAAGCAGACAGAGGAGTTCCAGCACACTTACATAAGGTCATGACAGGGACATGCCAGTGCTGTCAGGAACTGATGGTCCCTAGAAAAAGTACCTGCTAGTTTCAAGCACTCACATATCATCTCTTTACCTGGAAAACTTTCTACCGCCCCCTTTTCCTAGTCAATCTTACTACCACTCTAAAACTTGGCTCAGCTTCCTCCAGGAAAGTTCCTGACCCCAGAGACTAGACAAGTCCTCAATGATATGTTTCTGTGGAAGCCTCTAACTTCCCATTACATCAGGTGCCACAGTTTATAATCACAGGTATGTATGTGTGTTTGTGGAAACTCCACTGTTTGTGGCCCTCCATAGGGGATCCACACACATCTGCTCATTGATACACATTGAATCAATGAACAAACAATACTTTTCCTAATTACTTAACTGAAGAAATTCTACATTATATCTTATCTTTACTGTAGCTATAATTTTCCTCCTATTGTGAATTTATCTTGGTAATTTTCAAGTTCATTAATATCTTTTGATGATTCACTCAGTAAAAGTTGATTTATACAGTGAAGCTGGTCTACAAAGATAGGCTAGACTCTGCCAGTTCATTTAGTCCCTAGGATGCAATGGGGTTTCTCTGCAAAAAAAAATTACTTCTTCCAATCTACCACATAAAATTCTGATATGAATGGCTTGAAATCACTTTTGTACAAATAACTATGAACATAATTTACTATAACTAATACACCAATTTGAGGGGTAATAAATTCCACCGAAGCCTAAAAATCCCTTGATAGGTTACAATATCCCTGCATTAGTTAGTCCAAGGGACTCTCTCTGGAATGATATGGCAGAAAAAAACACTGGGAAGGTCCTTTTCACGTCCTGCTCATACCTGGTCAGGGCAGACAGCCACCAGTCACCCCTCCAATATATCAGTGCCACTGCCACCGAGTGGGCCTCCCAGAACCAACCACCAACCAGGACAGCACAACCCGGCCAAGTTCTGTTTGGTACCCTAAGCAAAACTTGCAGACTCCTGCCCTGCCCTGCCATGCACAGACTGTCCAGCTGGCAGGCCTCTCACCATGGGGACCTTGGCCCAGGTGTGGGGCCTTGTGGGCAGTGAATGTGAGCAGGCTTCTGTCCCAGTCCACTGGTACCTGCTGTGTCATTCTGCTGTCTTGGTATCTACACTCTGCCATGAGAGAGTATGGCAGAGGTGACTATAACCTGAACCCAGGAGTCAGGACATTTAATCCTAAAACCAGAGCTGCTGCTCAGTAGTGTGTGAGATTGGGCAAGTGATTTAACAGCTAACCCTCAAGTCTCCAGTCTTCAGAGCAGGATCCAAAGAGTATCTCGTGTGTTACTGAGGAGTAAATGAGATAATGCATGTGAAAAATTTAGGACAGAGCCTGACACACAGTAAGAATTCACAGCTTAGCTACCACTACAATCTTTATTTTACCCACCCCCCTCCCACTACTACTAACTTTCTTCACAATCCTTTCACTGCACCATCTAAATGCTTCCTTCTATTGTAAATAGATTCCCCTAACCCAGTGGTAGGCAAACTGGGGCTCGCGAGCCACATGCAGCTCTTTGGCCCCTTGAGTGTGGCTCTTCCACAAAATACCACATGTGGGCGCGCATGTACAGTGTGATTGAAACTTTGTGGCCCATGCGCAAAAGTCGGTATTTTGTGGAAGAGCCACACTCAAGGGAAGTTTATTAAGTTAATTTTACGGAACGTTGTGGAGTGAAAGAAGATGTAGTGTCGAGGATTGAGAAAGGTATGTTGAGATGGTTTGGACATATAGAGAGGATGAACGAAAGGAGACAGACGAAACAAGTATGCAAGACGAGTATGGATGGGAGATTTGGAAGGGGTCGACCTCAGCCAACATACCTCAATCAGATTGAGGATGTTTTTAGCAAAGGCCAGCTTAGGAGTACCCTAATTAAGTTAATAACAATGTACCTACCTATACAGTTTAAGTTTAAAAAATTTGGCTCTCAAAAGAAATTTCAATCGTTGTACTGTTGATATTTGGCTCTGTTGACTAATGAGTTTGCCGACCACTGCCCTAACCCATATCCACTTCTGAGAAGTTCCCTCCACTTATTTTGTGGGTGCTGTAACAATCTTGGCTCTGGGCTGGGCAAATGGCTTTAGTTGTAGCTATTCAGTATAGGTTCCTCAGGCTTCTACACCACAGGGACAGAAGGAAACTATACTGACTCCCCTGACCACTCTAGGCCACTGTACATCTACTATTAGCAGACACTTCCCTGTGTTCCCTTGCATGCCTGGTTGCACATCGTCATGCTGTATTTCCTTTCCACTGCTCAGATACCCCAGTCACTCTCAGAACCAGAGATGGCATTCACAGTACTTGCTGGCCACATCCCTTTGTAGGGAAACTGCTTGAACCCACGGCCCTGTTCTCTGAAACAGCCATACCTCAAGCCCTGGTCCCACAGCCACTGCACAACTATAAGGAGTGAGCACAACTGACTCAAGTCTGTCCAAAGCTTGAAAAATAAAGGTGGTTCAATCAGACTCCCTCCTTGGAAATTGTAACTAGGAAACACCGAGAAAAAGACCATCAATGGGAATTAAAGGATGAAATTAAAAGGATGTAAAAGGTGGGAAAAGGCTGTGTGTACTTACAAATTGTGAAGAAGCAGAAAGCATAGGGAAAATAATGACAAGCGGAAGTTATGAGGAAGAAAGGACATCCAGCAAAGCTACTGATGAGAAGAGAAAAGCAGATGTACAGAGAAGCAGGAAAACAGAACACTCAGAACTGCACAGCTGGCCCTGAGCCCTTTCTAATCCATCCTCAGGGGCGTGCGACACAAGGAAGCCTGCTTCTCACATCTATGTGCCCTCACAGCAGCATGACTAATCCCTGAAGACTGGCACTAGCTCACAGTCCTGTCCTCTCTTCTGCTGCCACCATCACAGGAACTTTCATGCCAAGTAGAACCCTGATTCTCGCCTCTGACACCTGCTGTGAACACTCTACATCAGCAGCCCTCCCCCAAATAGGACAGCACAACCCGGCCAAGTTCTGTTTGGCACCCTAAGCAAAACTGCTAGAGCACCATCACCAGCCTGCACCAAGTAATGCTCCATGCACTGCCTGCTGCTCCCCCACCCCTCTGCCATTTCCTGAAGTGGCTGGCCCTGTCACCCTCACTCTCCTCAAATCTTCTCCAGCAACCCTTTGCTGGCAGACTCCCTTGAGAAACTGAGGCTATTAGAAACCTGTACCATCCTGCCCTCCATCATCTATAGCTGTGACAATATTCTAAAATTAAAGGCAGCACCACTTATTCTTGTCCCTTCCTTCCTTCCATTCCCCTAATCTTCATTTTCTCTAGTTGTTGATAAACACAGCTTATAGGCAACCTCTCTCCTATTTTCCAAGCAGCTTACCATCAACACACTATTGTTGTTCATTTAGCTTTAGGTCTCCAGTTAATGCTTCCATTTTACATTGGGGAATATGTGGCTTTGCAGGCTTCCCTCATCCCTCCCGACCCCAGAGTATGGCCAGAATGCAGTCATGGTAGGACAGGGGCATTTTGTGACCAACATGAAATTTAAAACCGTATCTGCAAGTTTTCTCTATCTTTTTTTATTATATATTTTATTACATATTATTTTTTACAGGTATATGAATTGATAGAGGAGGGAAACACAGAGTTGACAAGATACAGTCACACAAAGTCCACCAGCACATTTTTTAAAATGGGAGGATCCACGTAGCCTAATTAAATCCCACCTCTGCTGATCACTATTCATGTCACCTTCCTCCTTAAACTTCAATCAGAATTATTCACTCCCTCTGATGTGGTGGATAGTATTTTAGCTGCCTCCCCTCATCCTGCAGAGGATGCAATGGAAGCTCTAGAGGTAGTTTATGGACCTCAGGGTACAGTACACAGAAAGTAGGACAGTTATTAAAATAATGCTCATTTTAAAAATTTAGTTTGGAAATATGATACTTTTAGAGACTTAAGCCATTCTGATCTAATTTTTTTTTCACCAGCTTCTAAATTCTATGATCCAAACTTTTGAATTTGGGACTTTTTTTTGTAACTTATTACCAGAGCAAGGGATGGACTAGAAAAAAAAGAAATTTTTATTTTTTGAAAGGAAAAAAACATTTAGATGGGGATTAAAAGGACTGGTATAAGCTTTCTCAAAAAAAAAGGGGGGGAGGAATTTGTTCATAATAATATATCTGAGTGTTTTACGAAGTCTTTATAACAATAAGCATGTTAAAGGTATTATCACAGATCTTTCAATTAAATAACAAAGTTAAGTATTATAAAATCAAGTTTTTTACTGGATTCACTTTTTGATTAGGTAGTAACCAATAATATATCACAATAAAATTTTTTGATTTTTTTAAATTGATTTCAGAGAGTAAGGGGAGAGAGAGAGGAAGAGATGGAAACATCAATGATGAGAGAGAATCATTGATCAGCTGCTTCCTGCATGCCCCCTACTAGGGATTGAGCCCATAATCTGGGCATGTGCCCTAACCGGGAATCCAACTGTGACCTCCTGGTTCATGGGTTGATGCTCAACTACTAAGCCACACCAGCTGGATAAGAATTTTTTTTTTAAGTTTAATATAACTTATAAAGAACTGTAAATATAAACATATAGATGTGAGGGGAGGGCACGTGTGTGTATCTGTCCATTATTTTTCTAATTCTCAATGATACACTTCCTCTAACTACTGATAGATTTCCCTTCACTGGGAAATGACTCTTTTGGTCATGATAAAATAATCCTGGGTCTTATGTAAAAGTTCTATGATAAACCTGCCGACTTTTCGTTTCCACAAGGGTGGGGTTCTAAGCAGAAGCCAGCTGAGTTAGCTGTGCTCTCTTGTGGAATTCATACTATGTCATACCATAACTTATCAGCCCTAGAATGTACCTTTTACCTTAGTCGATTAAATACCCAAATTTTCAGGTAAGGGCATGGCAGATACATAATTTTAGGGGTGGGCATGAGGAGAGAAATGTTTATTGCCCTTAACTATTTCTTACATACCTGCAAACCACTAAAACATGGAACAAAATAAACCCCTTCCGAATCTTCCAAACTTCTGGCCATTTTTTCAGTCTCAGCAGCATCTGTGAAAAGATCTGCAAACATAAAAACAAACAAACAACAACAAAAAATGTCTAAAACAAAAACAAAAGGTTGAGGAGGAACAAAGTATTGTGTTATATGACCAATATTTACCTGTGTCGACATTTATTATGAATTTAATATGAAAGATTACTCACTTAAAAGGGTCAACACAAAGGCCAATCTATTTGGGTTCCTTTACTTGCCTGGGTTTGGGAGCCCATAGAAGGGCAAGGGAACCAGAGGCCCTCTTAGCTCAGCATGCAGCAGGCCTTACTTTTCCTTTAAAGATATTTAGGCTGTCTAAAAATATAAATTTTAGGTGTGTTTTTGGCATTAAAAGTGCATTCTTCTGAAGATTACACCCATTCCAGTTTTTTGATGAAAAGATCTCTCTTGGTCATTAAAATCTAGAGGCCTGGTGCATGGATTCGTGCACTGGTAGGGTCCCTCAGCCTGGCCAGCACACTCTTGCAATCCGGGACCCCTTGGGGGATGTCAGACTGCAGGTTTTGGCCCAATCCCTGCAGTCTGACATCCTCCAAGGGATGTAGCAGTGCAGGAAGCGGCAGGCAGCCAGGGAGGAGCCAGGGCCAGGCGCCGCTCCTGCTCACCCCAGCCCCACTGCACCTGCCGCTGCCGCTGCCGCTGCTTGGCAGTGCTGCCACAGAAGCAGGAGAGGCTTGTGCTGCTGCAGCTGCGCCATGAGCCCAGCTTCTGGCTGAGCAGCGCTCCCACTATGGGAGTGCACTTATCACCAGGGGGCTGCTCCTGCATTGAACATCTGCTCCCTGGTGGTCAGTGCGCATCATAGCGACCAGTCAACTGGTCAGTCAGTTGCTTAGGCTTTTATATATATAGATAATAACCAAGAGAATCAACTGAAAAACTACGGATCTTAAGGGTTCGATAAGGGGCAGTAACAATTAAATATATCAAAAGTTAACCTTTAAAAAACAACCAGACCAAAAAAAATCAAGATCTAATTCATTTAATATGCTTTTTACTGATATATATACAGAAAAATGCACAAAGCCTAAGTGTATAGCTGAATGAACTTTCACAATGTGAATATAATAAGCTAACCAACACCCAGATCAAGATACAAATTTCTTTGTTCAACATCATGCTTGTGAGATTCAGTCATTTTGTTACAAGTAGTTGTGCTTCATTCATTCTCACCCTGTAAGGTATTCCACTGTGTGACCATACGCAAATGATTAGACTAGCTATAGTTAATAAACATATGGGTAGTTTCCAGTTTTAGGCTAATAATAAACAGGCCACTTTGAACTTACAGATATTCTTTTTGGTGAACATATGTATACATTTGCTATATACCAAGGGATGAAATTGCTAGTCCTAGGAGCTTCACATTTAGGACTAGCTTTAACAGATAACTGTAAACTACACTGAGTGGCCAGATTATTATGACCGGCCAGATTATTATGACCACCTCATCAGTACTTTGTTGGGCCACCTTTTGCCTTCAATGCTGCGGCAATTCTTCTTGGCATTGACTCCACGAGATATTGAAAGGTGATGCGAGGAATCTGACACCATGCCTGATGAATAGCACTGTCCAGTTCTGTGAGATTTGATGGTTGTGGAACCAGCTGCATGATGGCTCTTTTAACTTCATCCCACAAACGCTCAATTGGATTGAGATCTGATGACTGTGGGGGCCACCTAAGCAAGGTAAAGTCTCCCTCATGTTCTTGAAACCACTCCTGCACAATACGAGCACCGTGGCATGGTGCATTGTCTTGTTGGAAGAAGCCATCTCCATTGGGATACGCCATCAACATGATAGGATGAACTTGATCAGCAATGATACTTAGGTATGTTGTGCTATTTAGACATTTAAAATGATCTGGCCCTCTAGCAACTTCAGCGCGATATTATAGCTAATTTGCCTACAAACATCAGGTGGTCATAATAATCTGGCCACTCAGTGTATTTTCCAAAGTGGTTCTACCAATTTAAGACTCCTGTATGGGAGTTCCAGTTACCCCATATTCATGCCAATAATTGATACCGCCTGTGTTTTTCATTTTAGCCATTTTGGTGGTATTGCATGATGGTTAGATTTTGTATTTCTCTGTTTACTAATGAAACTTCAATCCTTTTCATTCATCATTTGCATATCTTTGTTTGTGAAGTGACCCCTAAATGAGATCTGGGACTGACAACATAGATCTGATGAAAAAGCTCAGAAATCAATCATAATAAACATTGCTGCCTTATATAGCCTTTATTAAGTCAGTTTTATTTCTGCATGATTTTTTCTTATGAGAAAGAATTTGACAGCTGTCAGCCAGCTTTCTATATTCTGTCTCTATTTTGCTTATTAGTTCATTTTGTTCATTAGATTCCACATATGAGTAAAATCATATAAGTCTTAAATTCTGATACCTATGAATGTGGCTTTATTTGCAGATGCAATTAGTCAATTTTAGGTCGTACTGGATGAGGATGAGCCCTGGTGTCTTTATTAGAAGTCACTGAAAATATAGTCACAGACACACAGGGACAACTCATGTGAAGAGAGAGGCAGAGGCTGGAGGAAAGCAGCTCCAGGCCAAGGAGCTCTAAGGACTGCCAGCCACCACCAGAAGCCAGGAAGAGACAGAAAGCTACCGACACCTTGATATTTGACTTCTTGCTTCCAGACCTGTGAGAGAATAAATTTCTATTGTTTTTAAACCAACAAGAAAAGAAAAAAGAGAGAGAGAAAAATAATTGATTAAAGACAAGAAGTTTAAGAAATATCTATATTAAAACTCAAGTTTATGAGAATCATTCAATAATAATTATAAATTTTCTTCAAAATGACAGTTATCAGAACCATAAGTCACATTCACTTGGTCAAAATGTCCAGATAATACACTAAAATGTCTGTAGCACTTCAAAAACTGATATTAAAAAGAAAACATTGGTTTTGAAATCTATACTTACTAAAAAGTCATGTCCAAATGTCTAAATTTCAAAATTGAGATGTGGAAAACATATTGGAGGTCTGGTTTAAAGAACATTTCTGGTAACATGAAGAAATGGGAAAAAACCTAGTTTATCCACATTCTTCACTGGTTCTTCCATTCTTTCTTGAAAAATTTCTCTAACTAATTTTCCATGTGAACTGTTCTCAAATGAGTGTAGACCTCACTCTGTTTCTCCCATAGCATGCAGAGAAGAATCCTGGCTGGGGCTCCTAGCCACGCTATCTGACGGCTTGAGCAGAAGAACAAGCTTGCAGTTAACACTGGAACTCCAAGTTCTACCAAATTGGTAGGAAATTCCCTGCATTTTTATTTCCTCCAACATCCTGGCCTAGACTCAGAGACGGCCTGAAACCAGAAACATGTGTCTGTGCACTGGGTGCAAATACGAAGAGCTTCTAAATAAGCCCCCTCTTTCTGGTCTGAAGAGCAGGAGTCAGGTGGCCTTTAAAAAATAGAGTGGGGAAGTTATCCTTCTTTATGCATGTGTGTTTTTCATTCTACCTGAACAAGAGAGGAGGAAGATAGAGACAGGGTGAGAGAGAGAGAAGAGAGAGAGGAAATAAGAAGAGCCTCAGGGGTCTGTGGGACAGTAAGAAAATGCATAACATTGTTGTCATTTAAATTCCAGAAGACAAAGAATGCACCGCAGAATAACTATTTGCAGAAAAAAATGTCTGTAAGCTTCCCACAGAGCAATAAAATGAACAAAACAGAGATGAATTTCAAAGGCATTACACTAAGAAAAAGAAACACTCTTGGCTGATTCTACTCTGTGAGTCCAGTTACTGTGTACGAGATTGTGGAAGAGGTAAAAGTATAGGGATAGAGGAAAGATTAGTTGCTGCCTGAGATTAGAGTGGGACAGGGATTGACTACAAAGGAGTGACACATGGTAATTTGGGGTTGATGAAAGTGTTTAGTACAATAGTCACAATCCTGATTATGGTAATGGTTATTCAGTCTATGTAGGTCTTAAAACCAGTAGAAGTATACACCAAAAAAAACCCAAACCAAACACAAGCACTTATAAACATATTAGAGGCCCAGTGCATGAAAATTCGTGCACTCGGAGGGGGGAGGGGGTCCCTCAGCCCTGCCTGCGCCCTCTCACAGTCTGGGAGCCCTCGGTCCTTACCACCTGCCTGCTTGCTGCTCCTTAGTGCTGCCTCCGAGGCAGGAGAGGCTCCTGCCACGGCCGCTGCACTCACACAGTTTCTGGTTGAGCAGTGCTGCATTGAGCGTCTGCCCCCTGGTGGTCAGTGTGCATCATAGTGACCAATCATTCCGCCATTCAGTTGATTTGCATATTACCCTTTTATTATATAGATTAGAAATAGCATATAGACATAGTATAAAGACAGATTGAGTATGACGGTGGTTTCACAGATGTATACTTTGTCAATACTCACTGAATGCTCTAAAAAGGTTAATTTAATTACATGTAATTTACATGTCAATAAAGTTGATTTAAAGTGATTTTTTTTCTCAAAAAGAGGGAAAGAAATTCAACTTCACTCATAAGAGAAATGCCATTTAAACACTGAGATGTATTTCTCACCCATCTAGGTTGGCAAAAATTCAAAAGCTTGATAATATATAAGACTTCTACTTCAGCCTCCAACTTCTGCAGTTCATCCAACCAGATCATTTGATTATGCAAAATACACTGAAAAAGGAGGCTGTGGGGAAACAGTCACATATATTTCTGGAAATAAAAAATTAAACAATTCCTATGGAGGGGAATTGACAATATCTTAACAAAACTACAATGCATTAGTCCTCTGACACAGCAATCCCACTTCTGAGAATTTATTCTTAAGACACACCTTCCACAACATAAAAACACGTATGTGCAACGTTATTCACTGCAGCATTATTTACATTTTGAAAATATCAGAAACTCCTCAAATGTCCAAATATAGGCTATTTGCTGGCTAAGCTATGTACATACACGTAATGGAATACTATGCAGCTGTGAAACAATGACAATCCCTATGAATTGATATGAAGTA